GCCACCAAGTAGCTCATCACCAAGGCACGTCACCACCGGGTCAAACAACGAGGTACTTAGCCAAAAAATTTATACATCACAAAAAATGGTACGCGACCAAAAACGGTTACATCACAATCCATTTTGTTGACAAAATAAAAGGAATTTCCATTTAAGTCAGTTACTAACATGAATTGGTGAATGGTATTCCATTTATATTTGTTTTTAAACGTGAACAGGTGGGACTCAATTTCCTTACATATGAAGGTGGAATCTAGAGTGAGTGAGAGGGTGATGACTTGGCACATTGGGAGTGATGGGAAGGGATAGGGAAAGAGAACTAAGGAGAATGCTGGAAAGGGAGTCTGGATTTTCTGCCAACCCCCTACCAGCATGATCCAATACCATATATGTTCTACATGGTCGGTCCCAGTCTTATGGTGAGATGTGTGGTGTCAAATTACGTTCGTAGAGTGTTGGAACATGTTTTGTTGATAGTCCAACTTCAAGAAGAGAAAGGTTTAGAGCAAGGAGAGAGAGACCATGTGACCGTTGCTTTATATATATATATATATATATATGGTATAGATGTATAGATAAATTATTTTAAAAAATATATGATATATATAAAAGCATTTTCTTAAAATTACACGGTATAATTAACCAAGGTTTTTAAAACTGACCTGGCCAACAAATCGGTCAGGGGTCTGGTTCCTGGGTTGAATGGTCCGACCATTCTAATCGAATGGATGGACCGTTCTGACAAAAAACGGTTAAAACTGTTGAACGGTTCAAATGCCCGAATCAGCAGTTTGCTGACCAAACAATGTTTTTTTGGCAAAAATCCAGTTTTGGAGAAAACCAAACCAGTCACCTGACCAGTTCCCGGTTATTTCGGTCCGACCGTCCGGTCCGGTCCGGTTTTTGAAAACCATGTAATTAACCCTAATATCGCGTGGGTGGGGCAAGGACTATATTTTGACAAGATTCCGCGTCAAGGGCTAGAAAATAATTTGGAAATATCCACGATGCACTATCCTCATCATCGTTCACGAAGCAAGATCAGCAGATCTTTGTCCTCATTTGGTATGCACATGTACCACACATTCCCGAATCCCGCCGTTATTTTGGATACTAAAAAATGTAAAAAATAACATGACCAGAAGAATCTAACGGTAACGCAATCAGTGGTGGTGGATTTTCAAAGAGAAAAAAAAAAAAAAAACGCAGTGGTGGTGGTGGGTGAGCACTGAGCAGGTAATGTAAAACTTCAAGGCCACGAACGATGAGATCTCCCAACGCCAGAGTTTGATCTCCGATCACCCTCCAACTCCAAGGCGCGAAGTTAAGACGGGCGTGAAGCCATGAATATCCTTCGAAGGGTCTCTTCCAATTTCCCGCGAGTTTTGGGATTCGCGCGGAGGACCTTCAATTCAAGTAGATTCCTTGCTGACTTCGTCGACTCTTCCCCTCCCGCTACCGCTCTCGGCGTTCACGTCTTCCATTGCCCTGTAAGCCTAATTGCCCGTGCATCTCTGGATCTCTGCAACTGCAACTGTAATTCCATTTTTGTTAAACGTTCCTTAATTTTAATGTTTCTAAAGGGTATCGCACATTTCGGATATTTTTCATGTTTTCACAAATGTTGGTTCTTAGATTTCTCCATTTTTCGTTTTATTTTTCTTCTGTCGATTCTAGGGTCGGTGTCTTGTTCGGTCGATTGGGACCTGGGATTTCGGCTTCTGAGTTTGGGATTGAATTGGTTCTTTATAGGATGAAGTTGGCATCGTTGCGAAGCTATCGGAATGCATCGCTTCCAGAGGAGGAAACATACTCAGCGTCGATGTCTTCGTCCCCGAAAACAAGAACGTCTTCTATTCCAGAAGGTCTGTTCCTCCTTTTTTCATCATTTCTACGATGTATTTGTTATTGCGCCCCACGTGTTTATGAACGCTTATTGATTCAATTGAATTCAGTTCTGATTTCATTACCAGGCATTACCCATATGCCTTTTACTTTGATAATTCAAGTGAGTCTTAACCACTACGCATTCCATGAACTGAACTGCATTTAATTATACTTAATTTCCAAAGCAAATTTGCAGTGAGTTTGTATTCGACCCAATTAGATGGCCACGGGCGGAAATAGATGAGGACTTCTTCAAAATTTCAAAATTGTTCAATGCAATGAGATCTGTTGTGAGAGTGCCTGATCTGGATCCCAAATATAAAGTAGCAGTTCTTGCTTCAAAGCAGGTTCCTCACTTTACTTTATTTATTTGTTTTTTATTTTCCTTTTCTTGAATCAACAGAAGTTGTTGTGGAAGATGAACCATTATGTACTAAATGGAGTTTGTTTGCATCTTTTTCAGGACCATTGTCTGGTTGATTTGCTACATGAATGGCAGGATGGCAAACTACCTCTTGATATTACTTGTGTAATAAGGTCAAATTTTTAAAATCTTCATTGTTTTCATTGTGGAGTTTTCTTTGTTTTTTCCTCGACCATTTTGTTTTCATTGAGGTTTGTTTTCTAATGTGCTAATCTGCAAGCTGTGTTACATTCTTACAGTAATCACAATAGAGGTCCAGATACCCATGTGATTCGGTTTCTAGAAAGGCATGGAATTCCATACCATTGTTTGCAAACAAATCGAGGGAATAAAAGAGAAGGAGAGATCTTGGATTTGGTTCATGGAACTGATTTTCTAGTGCTTGCAAGATACATGCAGGTAATTATGATCCTAGGATCCTAGATATTGAGACCACCTTGTCCATCATACATGAAATATGCTTGTATCAGTTTTGTGACCAAGGTGACACTCTGTAGTATCTTGATTAGATGGTTAGAAAGATTCTAGCGGCAAGCATTCTTTCACACTTAAAAGTTAGAAGACTTTGGTTGTGGGAGTCTCCTGCATATGAGTATTTAATGCCTCCTGCATGTGCACACTGGATACTGTACTAGCAGAGGGAGCAATTTTTTCCTTTCTAGCCCAAATAGATAAAAAAAGAAATCACCAGGCATCTAATTTCATTCCTGTGACTTTTTCAATCTAGAAATGTTGATATAATCTAATGAATTGTGGTCATGGCATATATTGGCAGATATTGTCTCAAAATTTTTTAGAGAGCTATGGGAAGGATATAATTAACATCCACCATGGCCTTTTGCCATCATTCAAGGGTGGAAATCCCTCTAAACAGGTTGTCTCCCTTGCATTCTTCATGGGCAAAATCATTTGTCCTGTTTTTACAACATCTAATCTGCAAAATAATGATTACAGGCCTTTGATGCTGGAGTGAAATTGATTGGTGCAACCAGTCACTTTGTAACAGAAGAGCTTGATGCAGGACCAATAATAGAGCAGATGGTGATTTTTCTCTGCTTTTACTATTCTATTCACCTGCACTTACTTTTTTGAGTTTTGCCTCTTAAATTTAGATCATGCTAAGAAGCTGGGAAGCTGCTTTGTGAATTTTCTCATGAGCCTTTATGTCTTTGTAGACCGCTTACATATTTCTTCTGAACATATAGGAGTTTCAAAAAAAAAATGGTTATCACGATTTTTAACAGTGGAGCATTGACCTAGAAGTGGTACTTGATGGAGAAAGTTGCAGGAGAGGATTTGTTTAGCCAAGTCCAAATAGTTGGGCTTGAGGCTGAGTTGAGTTGAGAACATTGGCCTAGAAGATCTTCTAGGTTATACCCTTTTGTGTACACTCTTATGTGTACAACATAAGCAGGAAAGATGTCTTCTTCCTCATACCCTCGAATTAATATAATTATCTCTTCTCTAGGAAATGGCAGACATATTACATTGTCATTAGATGTTTAATGAACAGAAGTAATTGATTAGAAAATGGTCTTAGGAAGAAGTGTAATTTCATGCAAAGCTAATGCTAGGGGCACATGTCAGGATACTACATGGTGTCTTCTATAATTACCAGGAACAATTAATCCAAGTGTCAAGACATGCCCTATTTTCTCCTATATTTCAGATTTACCGAAAAGCCAATACCTCTTAGAGGCAAAATATGACAAAATAGGCACAGGAGGGAGCCATTTCTTGTGGAAGGAGGCTGGTGTATGAGAACTTTTTTTTTTCAGTTTACATTTAATTATCTTTTGAGTGAAGGATGCCTCGTTCTCCCATGTATATTTTACAATTAGTGGAAATTATATTTTATTAGTAAAAAGAGAAGATACTTTAGTGTACAAGGGCCCCCTGATGATCTGAAAATAAATTTGGGTTGTCAAATCTTGATAACTATTGACAAAGCTGTCAAATCATGTATATGAAAAATTGAAAATTTGATTATTATACTAGGACCAGGTATCACAATAATGTAATGCTAACAGTTAACCATTTACAATTATTGAACACTATTCTTGTATATTTTAGTTCATTTGGTATGAACTATTCTGGTGAAATCATTGTAGAGATTGGGAAAAATTACTTGTAGAGGTTGACAAAAAGAGGAATGTCATAAATGATATGCTTTTAAATTGCTCGTTTTTTTGGGGTAATTCATTGAAGAGACAGAGAATATCCAGCTTACAGTATTCAGAAGATCCCTTCAGTACTTTGAATCTGTCATAAACTCTGGATGATTACCGGTTTTAGTATTTCCAAAGTATTGGAAATAGTTGGGGCTTAAGATAGTTCAGTCCTTGGGTGCATTGATCTCAAGGTTTTCCTTAAGTGAATCATAACCCTTATTGTCATGATTCTAATGATAGTCATAATAATGAAGATCATTGTGAGTAAATATGTCTTCATCATGCTAATCTGGTGTGCTGTACCTGTATAAGTTAATAATGCTTCTTTGATAACACAAGCACAAACTGCCAATTTGTTTGCGTTATTGATGTCTGTCTAGATGGATTGTTCAAATTTCAGTTAAGTGTGGTAAGAAACCCAGGGCTTGAAGAATGTTTATGACTTATGAGAGATGAAGGTACCCATCTAGATTTGGTTGACCCAAATAACATATTTCTATTGAACTTAACCCTATCAAATTTTCTGATAAGATAAGAGGTACAGGTTCATATCTAGCTTTATGATTTCCATCAACTCTTTGCTCTAAGATTACATAATCAAGGTACCCAATATCACCGGATCTGGATTTCTTTCTTGAATCTTGATATCCTTGGCTCATGTGATCTCGTTTTACTGTTTTTTTTTTTTGAGAAAAGATCTCGTTTACTTTTTTTATAGAGCTGTCCCTAATTGAAGTGCTGAGAGCAGCCACTTTGTGATTAAAAAGAATGTCAAAGGTTAAGTCTGTATCCAGCCTACCCCTACCCAATAACCCAGATGGCTAGGACCAACATTAGGTAATTGCCTTGTTCCTCACTGACGGCATTGTTTATATTATACAGAATGGGGTATATATGTTCTATTCAGGACTGCTATATAAATTTGAGGTTGTTGATGATTCTTGTTTTTCAAATATTATTGCGTTATGGTTCTTCTATTTTGTGCTTTTGCTTGGATTAGTCACTGTTTTAGTGCTTTTTATATGTTGGATAAAAGCATCTGTATTTAGTCTCTTTTAAAAGTTCAGTAACATTCATTAATGATGTTTACCTGAAATCCTTCTTATGTGAGGAATAAAGCATGTGGATATTATTATGCAGGTTGAGAGAGTTTCCCATCGAGATAATCTACAGAGTTTTGTGCTGAAATCTGAGAACCTTGAGAAACAATGCTTAGCAAGGGCAATAAAATCGTATTGTGAGCTTCGAGTGCTGCCTTATCAGGAAAACAAAACTGTTGTATTTTAAAATTAAGTAAAAATGAGAAGGGGAAATTGAAAAGTAATTGTAATTTGTAAAATTGATTAATAATTTTAATTAAATTTTCTTGCTCTCTTATCGTTGCACTTTATTTACATTTATCTTTGATTGTTTTTACATATTCAAGCAACCATGGATTAAGTTCCTTAGCTTAGTTGCATAATTCAGAACCGAGAACCTCAGAAAATGGACTCTGAACTTCAAAGATCAAAACTTACAAGCTTTCGGTAACTTGGCATGTAAATGTTTAGCGAAGTGACAAAGATTCTTAGCACTTGGGATCTGCTGCTTGTACTGCTGTGACCAATCACAAGTGAACATAGGACTGCAGATACAGAACACTAGCATGTTCACTTTTGATTGATTAGCTGCCTACACAGTGGTGTGAGCCGATCTGGGCTCCCCAAGGATCTCTGGTTGATTCATTTACAATAATGTAATAGACCCAAAGTTTTATTTTGGCAATTTACCAAGCATTTGGATTCTAAGAGATAATGACCATTTAAACATTGCCACAGATTCAATAGAAAAAGGGTAAAAGACATAAACATACCTTGAGTTTTCATAAAATGTACTCTATTGGACTAGTCTCATTGGACTTAAAAACATACCTTCCATTAATGAAAAATCATATGTGAATTCATTTAAAAATTTAAAAATCTTATGATGCCCTTCTAGACAAGAAACATGAGTATTAGTGAGGTGGAAGAAGAAGAGTATAGGAGGAAAGAAGAGAAAAAACAAAATACTGAATACTGGTAAAAAATAGTAGTAATACGGTGCAGACTGTCCCGTTTTTTATTAGAAAAATATATTGCAGTCAACTACAGAACTCTGAATTCCATTACAACCCTACATAATTTAAAATGATAAACAACCCCACCCTAAAATGTCAATACCCACCCATGAATTGGCATCAATTTCGAGCTGGCACCCATTCCAACTGTACGGTGGGACTAAGAATTCTTAAAGTGTTCTGAACTATCATTCTCCCCATTTTTTATCCATCACGTTAAGTTTTTTACCTGGAAAAGAAAGTCAAAAAAACGGCTTAGAAGTCTAACAGGATTGCTGTCAAGATGTTTGAATCATTGAGTGCTTAGCTGTCTATATGAGTCATCTAGAGAGGTACAGGACAGCCGTTTGGTAACACAGCGAATAGTACAAACATTCATTTATTATTCATTAATGCCACTGAAGGATTCTCTGCAAACCATTTTGATGGCATTGTTGTGGTATCGGTGCTGAGGCTACTGAATCAGGCCGACAAAGTGTGAGAACAGGTTTGGGTCTACCCCTCCCAAAGTATTATTTTGCATCTAAACATCCAAGTTGATGAATAAGTGGCCTCATTTGGGAGATTGGGCATTTGGTGAGGCACTTATCAAAACACTGTCGTATCATTATCAAATCAAAATCAGCATTTAATCCATCATGATGATCCCTACACATAGATACTTACAAAAGCTGGCCTTGATTTATGTGCATGTCTATTATTGGGGCGTGGGGAAATTTCAATTTAACATTTCCCCCAACAACAGTATTCATTTATTCACTATTTTGCTAATGTGACACCTACTTGTCATAAAAGGTTGACATTATTACTTTTCTCGGTTTTGAAGTTAAATCAAATACAAACGTTTAGTTAATAAACTGAAACTCTACCAAACACATACCGGATTTGCTCTCCTCACAGAATGTACCTCAAACCAACCTCACAGCACATCGCAGCCATGCATTGAGAACATCTCCTGTACTTGATATTATTATTGATGGGAAGATATTTCCAATGCAGGGCTGCAATGCAGAGCTGCGATGCATTGTGAGGCACGCTCTGTGAGGAGCAAATCTGAATTCTCACTACAGGATCAAGAATGCCTTGACGCTATCAAGGGCCATTAGAAGGCATATGGGGTCTTGGGACGGGAGGACCAGATATTATCTTAACCTTTGGCATTTTTTTGCACAAAGTGGCCGCTCTCAGATTCAACCCACATTCTCACGCTTGACAGCCCAAGATTTCTATTAAATTAAGAAGTTGATATGAATGAACAAATCTCAACATCCTCATCTTCACGACCTGTTTCTTCTTATTTGTGCCATTTCACGCAACATTGCGCACCCTATTAGTTAAAACAATGTCTGAAAATACAGAAAATTTGACAAAATATTCCTTATTCATATCATGATAAAAAATAGTCCAATGATATGTTGTTATAGTGTGTTTCATTGAGCTAAATATGTATTATACCATGGAAATGGTGACGAAACACCATATGCTATCTACAACTCCTAAATATCTCATTTGCCATGGGTCATAGTTACTAATTGATCAAAATCTTCAATCAATACTTAACAATTGAGTGGAGGTTTGTGTCCCTCCAATAAAGCTGCCTTGTTGAAGCAAATTTTGTATGCTACCAACCCATTTTTGCTGATGCATCTTGCTGATGCACTTGAATTCTAGAAGACCCTGGGCAGTTTCCAATCCAAAAAAGCATCCTTCAACACCAACCCTCTCTTTCATTACTGGCCACACTGGAATCTCTTCACAGACACCATAAACAATGCCTGGCATCAGCAGATCAGAACATTATGTCAATATCATGAGTCCATCATTAGTGACCACCGGCTACTTCAAATAGTAAGAGACTCACTAGCAATTATAAATGAGGAAACCTGGCATGGATTTTTAAATAAGGTTATTCTTTATCCATGGATGCATGCCACAAGCAATGAACAAGAGTTCTTCAATTTGGCTTTAATCACTTATGGTGGATCCTTGGATAAATCATAGTACAATGATCACATTGGAAGGATTAATTAGTCTTTTGTATGCTATCTTCATTTATGGTTTAACTGCCTCAGTTCATATGCAGATAGTAAGATGTCTTAAATTCAGCATTATCTCCAGCTGACAGTCTTCAATAAGGCCAACTGGTCCATCTTATAAGATGGTCCTTACTGCATTGAAATCCACCATTGGTTTACAGAGATCAAGAGAAAAAGAAAAAAAGAAAAAAAAAAAGCTTACACTTTTTCTTCTTTGAAAAGGCTCCTCCAACATGTTTGCTTTTGAGTTTAACGATGACCTATCATTTCAATTTGAATTGTATCAGTAAGTGCTCCAATCCTTAGGTGCTGTTGGAGTCACCATTTCATTCTTTATTTAGTTTTTGTAGGTTTTATGCTTACCTGTGACTTCTTGTTGATGTAAATTGACACTCGCTTCCAACGTACTACACCTGTGAAGTCCAAAATTAAGTTTTAGGGTCTAGAATAGAGAATTCTTCATGTGACCAATGTCTGATTTAAAAGCAGTCAAAAATTAGATTGAAAAGTAAATCTCCATGTATAATATAGCTACCAATTATGAATTGGTATTAATTAAAGAAGATCCTTTCAAAGCATAGAAAGTATGCACTATACTTTGTGGACAACTTAGGTTCTTCAAATGACCATGAATATTTCTATTTTGACTCACATCTAAGTGAGCTGCACATGTCCTGACACAAGATGGCTATTCCATTTTCTTTGCACTAGTTGTACAGGGTAACTGGGAACATTAGGTCATAATTGAAAAAGTTGGAACATGTCATTAATGTGAGATTGGTAATTACCTTTCCGTGTGAGATGAAGTAGTTCGCCTTTGCAGAGAGAACACTGAATCTCAATTTCACTCTGGCAAACAGCAACAGGGCAAGTTGCTCCAACACTCCTATCATAGGGGATTATTGTGGCGTTGTTCTTGACTTCCTTGGGCACCCTTGCCTTCAAGGCAGCTGCTCCTCTCAAAGCTTTTCCAGTAAAGATACAATAACATCAATGAAATATTAAAAGCTTATCACATGGGCTCATTCGTACAAATTTATGTATGTTTCAAAAAACAAAGATATGCATGGTAGCACTAAATATTCCAGCTATGGTGTTTATATTGAAGAAATGAAATTATTAAAAAAAGTTCATTTGTAGGGATGCAACCTAGAAATCAAAACGATGGAGCAGATACCTGTAGCAGCTGCAGCTGTCAGAGTCATTAAATCACCAGGAGTTCTAACATCCACAGCTGATCTAACAACAGAGGCCACCCGGTCATGATCAGCACCTGTTAACTCAGCGACCTCAATGCAGTGAGATGCCAAGAGCTCTGTAGCTGATGCAACAGCTGCTGTCATTTTTGAGGTGGGGCTGTTGGAACTCTCTACCGCAGCCACAGAAGCTAAGGCTGCAGCAACCCCTGCCACAGATAGGGCAGCATAGATGCGAGCATTGTCGGCACGCACCTTTTCTTTCTTCTTCACTTTTTTATTGATAAGTTCTTTATTGTGGAACCATTTTCCAACCAATGTTGTACGTGGAACATGAACTGAATTGACTGTTCTACATAGCTGCAAAAAAGCATCTATCAATCTACCATGAAGTATTAAAAGATGGGATGTAACAAAACATAATCATCTAGACTTTCTAATAACATCTGACCATGATCCATATTTGAGTTTGCCACCCTGCCTGCCAATTTGCCAATTTCCTAATTAGGCAATCCCTGTTGTCACTATAGATCCATTAGATAATCCAATTAAACATATTCTGGAATCTGGATAGGCTAAAGGCTAAATTTCTCTTAAGTGTAACATGCTCCTGAAGCATCAAAGTTGGATGCTTCAATGGGTTGCCAGGCATTGGAATTCAGTGGATAATAGTCTTGCTAAGGTGGAGTTGTTTAGAAGTGTTTTGTATAGCGATTCTGTGATGCCCTGATTTTATTCGGGCTCTCTTTCTTTGCCGTTTTGTGTACATATTTCTCTTTTAATACAAGTTACCTTCTCCTCAAAAAAATAAAAATCATGGAAAGCAGTAATGTGTAGATAAGATAATTAGGTAGTCTGTGTCTGTGGCTTAGTACAAAGTAAAAGATGAAGCAGACAAATATGAGTCTGGATCCAATCTGTTTTTTGCAACATCCAGTCTGTAAAATTGGACGAGCTAGAGCCTGTTTACATTTCAGGCAGGCAACATAGTATACTAAGGATTGAACAATATTTAGAAAGCTTCATCTTGTTAGAAGAATTCCCCTTTCACTGTTAGGACCATCCAAAGCGGGTAGCTGGTACTACAATTAAGCTTAGGCACAACTATTTGCTATTTTAGTCTAGATTCAAGAAAAAGAATTTTAAAGACTACTATCCATGTTAATGTTATACACAAATCACACCAACTGTATCAGTGGAGAATATAGTGCAACTCAGATAAAAAAAGGAAGTAGGAAAAAGCTTACAAATTGTGATGCAGCAATCGTCTCTGAGATCATATCAGGATTCTTGTCGGGAAGAAAACGTTTCTGTTTCTGAGCAAGAGCCTTTGAGATTTCAGAAGCCGAAAGGCTCCAAGATCTTGATAAGAACTCCATGGGTTCCTTTGGTGTCTGCGGAGGAGGGATCGATGATAACGACAATGAGGATAGTATGCCCAATTCTTCATCCTCCTCTAAGTTCTCTAGTCCATGCAACCGCACAGAACTCTTCTTCCAACTCATAAATCGCTTGCTTTCCATTGATCCTCCCTAAATATTCCTGTAAATGCCAAATATTCAAAATGACCACCCAATTCAATTGCAGATTTCTATAAGCATTCGATTGCAGAAACCCACAGAAACAATCCTGTCAATTCGGTAAGATAAAGTACTGGCAAGTGGCCACTCCACATGATCCCTAGTGAACCCAAGTGAGGTTTTCATGTATTCGACCAAGACACTAGAAACCCATCATAGAGAGAAGATGAGAAAGAGAGGATTCTCTGCTTACCTTACAACCTGAGATTGGTTCAGAACTGAGGCAACGAACTTCAGTGGCTGTCTGTCAATATATAGCAGACAGTCCGAGGAACGGAACAAAGACAGGTCAGAGTACACAAGAGAGAAGAGAGCCTCGTGCTTGGTGTTCCACCATGAAAATTGGGCTGGGTCTTCGTTATTTGTAATCGAAAACGTCCTTGTAGACAAGCAAAGAAAATTAAAACTCCGGAAGACCTGTAAAAAAGTTCACAAAATTCGGAAGCGACCCAAACAGTGCTTTCATTCGTTCAGAACTTCGAGACATCGGAAAACATTCTCCCTGTTAAATGCCGCTCGCTCGTGCAACGTTGCCCGTCTCCTCCATATAAAATTGACAATAAAAAACTCCACCAAGACAATAATAACAATAATAGCGTGTGTGACGAGTGACGACGGTGGCTCGCTTTTGTGGGGCTTGGTGCTTGATGACTTTCGGTGGTTGGTTGGACGTGGTGGAAGAGCGTGACAACGGTAAAGACCGAAGACTAATCCAAGTCTACTTCACTCTTGAGTCTTTAGGGGGCAAAGGCTTATTACTTAAGTATAAATTAATCACAGTTGATTAATCAAATCGATCAAATCTCTTACCTGTTTTGTTCTGTTGGCCACTGTAATTTCCTGTGGGCTCTATCAGGTTGGAGATAAACCAAACAGATTGGTCCCTGGGTCTGCAGAGCAAAGCCCGACTCCGACCATCGGACCATGTGAGTAGAACGAATCAGAAATTGAGATGAGAGAATCTAATAAGGCCCCCTCAGAATTATCACTTACCGCACTCAACCGGAATGATCGCCTCTCAGCAGACAAGCTCCAGATGCCATCTCCATCGTTTGGGAGCAACTTTCCTTTCCCTCATGATGAAGGATATAGCTTTTGGATGAAATGTTTCAGAGCTGCAGTGGCTGAGTCTCTTACTGCATTTAGAAGAATATGTTTTGTTGTTTTGGCATGCAAAGAGAAAAGGTGAAAATATGATTTCCTGTGTGACATGACACTCATTTTTTATAGAGGAGTGGAATGATTTATTTACCTAACACTAAAGACAAAAAGATTTCTATAATGTCTGTTGAAGACGATGAGCCACAAGATATTTTAAGATTAAAATTAAGAGTGGGTTATTGTTGGATACCTTTCTTGCAACAGTTGGAGGAGGCATCTTCTTTACTAGTTGTCAGCTGTCTATTTCACTGCACCTTTCATGACCTCAACAATGTATTAAACGCATGCTTATGGGGCTAAACCATTTTTCATTCCGGGTCAATGGATCAGTGGTTCGACCATCTGGGTAAATGGATCAACTGATAATTGTTATAAAAAAGCAAAATAATTTGCAAGGTATCAACCAGCTGTTTGGTAAGGCCTTCTGTTGGTCGTAGTGGAGACTTGAGATTGAATCCCATATACACCTGGGTTGGGTAGGGGTGTAAACGGATCAAATTCAAATCTAGTTAAAAAATTTGATATTCAATGGATATCGGAAATTAATATTCTAATTCGAATCTGATTAAATATTCAAATATTCGATTCGAATTCAACTAATTAATTATTTTAGGTAATTAATAAATATATAAAATAAATATTTTATTTATATAAAGTATATAAATATATAAATATTTATATAATTTAATTATTATATATATAAATTATATAAAACATTTAAAAATTTTATACATTATACATAAGAATTAAATAATTGGTCGCATTTGGATATTTATCAAATCGAATCAGGTTATATCCGAATTTGAATCCAATTAACTATTCGGTATGAATAGGATATCCAAATTTGACTGGTTAGATATTCAAATTATCCGAATTCGATTCAATTATATCGAATCTTGAATTTGAAATTGGATTTTCAAATATCGTTGACACCCCTAGGGTTGGGGAATGGGCTACCCTGTTGTGTAGCCCTTTCACAAGATATCAAAAAACAAAGAAGAGTGAATTCATGTGATGCAAGGACTGGTGTTAAAGATGTCACATATTCCATGAGGGAGCCATTATATTTGGTTTCTTGAGAAAAAAAAATAATAATATGGTTAAGTTGTGGGTGATTTGAAATATCCCCAACTTCAATGTCTTCTATTTTTCAAAAATAGAAACACAAAAATTATAGGAGGTACTATTCACATAAAATGCAAAGGAGTTGTGACATGGACAATTCCATTTTATACATATAGTAGAAGAGGCCCTGCAATGCATGAGTTGGTGTTAAAAAGATGTCCATGTCTATGGGGAGTAATGACATTCAATTTCCAAATAAAAAGAAAACTGATTTGGTTGTGAGTGAGTTAAAATAACCCCCTCTTGAATCTTTTGTTTAAAAAAATAAAAAATAAACATAAAATTCTAAAGGGGGTTAAGAAACAATATAAGAAAGAGAATAATCCAATGTGCACAACTGTTTTTTAAGTATACAGAATAGACTCCAAGAGATCCTTGGACCTTGGCATGGACCCGTGTTGAAAAAGATACCATCTTCTATAGGGGAGTGATTATATTCCCTTTCCTACTATTGGTTGTGGGTTAGTTTAAATCAATAACCCCATGTTTGGTTTAACTATTTATTTAAAAATTCAATAGAAACCAAAAAAAAAAATCTAGGGGGTTTGGAAATCAATATGAGGAGGAGAGGGAATAAATTGATATGGACTACATTTTAAGTATATAGAATAGATTAGAAGAGGCTCATGCAATGCACAAGCTAGTATTAAAAGATGTTCATTATCTTAAGGAGTGATTACATTGAAGGAAACTGAATTGATTGTAGATGATGAAGCCAAAAAAAAAATAAAAAAGAAAAAGAAAGATGTATATGATTTTAAATAGCCCCATGTTTGAATTTTTAGTATTTTAGAAAATTCAGAAAAAAAAAAAAACACAAAATTCTAAAAGGGTTGGAGAGCAATGTGAGTATGTGAGCAAAAGAGAGAATAAGCTAACTCTGTGGGTGTTTGGCATCGGTGTTGTTTTCTAAGAAAATGGCACCATGTAAGTGCCATATCAGAAAAAGCGGTGCTTCAGAAAACAGTCTCTTATTTGGTATTGTTTTTCCATAAAAAGCGTTGCTTCATACCACACCTTGGAAATTGAGAAAGTGTGGTATGAACCAACACCAAATTTGATGTTTTCTCATAAAACAGCTCGTTGCTGCTAGCGGTGCAATGATGTGGTATCATGTTAGACGTTGGATAATACGACCAATGCTGAAAACGAATCTACAACACGGGTACTAAATAAAAAATAAGCACCTTTTTCTCAACTCACACGATGCCAAACACCTACTCTAATAACCCAGGTCAGAAAGGTCAATTGATGGTAGAGAGATAATAAAAAAACTGTCCAGATCCATAAGTCATTGACCAAGTCAAATTTATTGTAATATGGCAGGTTAGAGGCTCACCCAAATCCAAATTGTGATCCAATCGACGAACATTGATATAGGATTACAACTTGAGTCATGTCGGGTGAATTTGTTAAATTTTTAATCGCCCCAAACCCATCTAATTAAAATTATTTAGATGGATTTGATAAGAGCACAAATACAAATATGTACGGTGCAAACGTAAATAAAATAATACAAAATATAAGGTTTTACACTCTATATATTTATATTTATATTTATACACCTACCAAATTGAGCCTTAAATTATGCAACCTTATTTGCCTCCCATAAAGGAGTTGGGATCTTTACAGCCACATCTCACCATGTATTAAAAACATTTCCTCTGAATAATAATATATAAATATGAGAGATGTTCTTGATGCGTCGCTGAGACATGCTATGAGGCCGGTGTGAGTAGCAGATTCAGACTCCCCATAAAGGCCAAAAAGAAAATCTTTTATACTTGAAAACATACCCTCAAGTAGACCCCAACTCCCGGTCCCAGATTTGCAGTGGCTTAGGGAGTTCAAAATTGGCTTACTTATTGGCGATGGAAAAGCAAAAAAAACAATGCATAAAAAACATTAAATTTAACATTTTAGATAGAAATAACAATTTGCATCGATCAATTCAAAATATAGTAACATTGCAACTCCACTCTACCAAACACCCTAATGATATTGAGTTTGGCTTCTTGATGAGCACTAAAATTCTATTAGAGCCCTCTGGTGGGAACTGTTCAGATTTATGACTGCCATGTTAATTCTCAAGCAAGATCCAGCCTGACTGCCATGTTAATTCTCAAGCAAGACCCAGCCTTGTGCCTTGAATTGGACACCGTTCTAAAAAGCTAAACCAGATGCTTAAATTTATTGGAGTGAGTGGATGACAAAAGGAGTAAAAGGAACAGATACGTATCATAGACTCTTTAGCTTCGTAAGGGGGAAGTAGTACACACATCCCAATGCATAAATTTGAAATTACAGCCCTACTTAGTCTACTAGGAGCCCCTCCTATAAATCGCATCCTGCCCGTGGATTTGGCATAATCCACGATTAGGATCCATCCCCTGTATGGTAGGATTAAGGATTCTGAGTTGGGTTAATCATTCATTCTCCCATTTGTTTATTGCAATGATCAGAAAGCAAGGTTTTTTAAAAACCGGACCCGATACTGAACCGTTTTGGGTTCAGTTCCCTGGTCGAATGGATGACCCATTTTGATAGAAAAAAAAAACAACCAAAAACCATTATCATAATCAACAGTTCAACGATTTGACCATTGATTCATTGACCAAATCAATAGTTTTTGTTGGAAAGTGGATTTCGAAATTGTGTGTTTTTGAAGTCTGATTCATGTTCCTTAAATAGTTTATGAAGAGGTATGAAGAAAATGTAACTGTTAACTTTGAATTGTGCCTCTTGATCACACCTGATCAAATTGTGGGGTGAAGTGCAAGCAAAGTGCGCCTGTGTGGTATCAAACCCCCATATTCTCTTCTACTATTTCTAAGGAGTGTAAATCAGCTCCTATTAAAATACTAAAAATAAAGCTCGTGTATTGTGCGGTATCAAACCCTCATATTCTCCTCTACTATTTCTAAGGAGTGTAAATCAGCTCTTATTAAAATAGTGAAAACAAAATTTATAATTTTCCAATGTGGGATAAGTTCAAATATAGGTTTTGTAAGAGAAAAACTAATTTTTCAATCAAGTGTTTAAATACAATTTCTCATGTAATTGATCAATCAAACTCATTGAATTTAATCTCTTATGAGATTAAAATCCAACAGTTTTGACAAAAAAAAATTTAAAGATAAAATGAAATCTATCGGATGACCAATTCTCAAATTTTTCGGTCCAAGACCAACCATTCAGTCGGTCCGATTTTAAAAACCATGAAGAAGGCGATGTTGCTTCTTTGGGAATAGTCGCTGAATAGTGAGAATAGTACAATTATAAACATACAGTACAAATACATACAAAACAAAAAAGTGACACATTTGGGAGATGTCAGTAGAAGACATGTGAAGAACTGCTATGAATTGTTATAAAATGAGTGTTGGACACGAAAAAAGAGGGATTTTGAAGAATTGGGACATAATCTTGACGTGGTTATGCAGTAACTAGCCGATGGTGGAAAAAAATGCAGGCTATGAACATCTCCTTTCCCTAGTTCGTTTCTCCTCTCCAAATCATATTTTATTAGAAAAAAAAAATTATGCGTTTGGCTGATACCGGTTGATTAACATTAAGGCTCAGTTTAGAAAAGAGTACAAATATAAATATGTACAGTGTAAATACATATAAAATATAAGGTTTTATACTCTATAAATTTACATTTATATTCTTTTCAAATTCAGCCTAAGTTTTTTCGATATCATGTCTATATCATAGCTAGTTAAATCCATTTTCTTAATTTTATTTTTTAAATTTTACATTTAAAAAATAAGAAAAGGATGACATGGTGCATTTGGGTAACCACACCATTTAATGACTTCGCACATATGAGATCATAGTGCATGGCTGATGTATGTGTGAAAACTTGATGGAAGAACA